TACCGGTACGCCGCAAATAAGTTTTGCAGGTTAAAATTATATGCCCCGATTGCTATCCTACTAGCTCCAAATCTAGGGTTTGATTGGAGTTATGTATGGCAAAGTTGAGAATGAAAGATGTTGGAATAAATAAACTTAGCGGCGTATTTGTTGAGACTTTGAGTTGCTAAATTTGGTTAATTTTATAATAGAGTTTTGTTTTTATTTGACTTAAATGTTTTAATATTTTTCTTTACTCTTTTATGCTTTTTCATTTATTTGCTTTGTTTTTCTATAATAATACGTTTGGTTTATTACATCTTTTATTATTTTAATATATATTTTATTATATTACTTTAATTATTTAATTGAATAATTTTTCTCTTATTAATTTCCGTAATTTATTTGAGATATTTAATGTATTAATTGAATAGTTAGTTAGTTAGTTTATTTAACTAATTTCGTTCGTCCCAAGTGCGTTTCTTTCAATTGCTTTTTCAATTTTCATCATTTTTTGTTTTTGCTTATGTTTCAGACAACATCTTTTCATAGAAAATTCATTTCATTGCGTGCATTTATTAGAACAGCAATTGAATTTTCCCTATATAATTTTTTAATTATGTTTTAATTGGTCATTATTTCAACTATTGAGCTATTATGTTTTTCATTATTTTAACTAATTAAAATTATTTATGTTTCAATTTCTTATTTCCGTGTGATATAAACTTTGTTTATCATATTTTACGGTTGGATTATTCATTATTTTTCATTCTTGTTCATTCATGCATACATTCGTTCATTCATTCATTCATACATTCGTTCATTCATTCATTCATTCGTTTATTCATTCGTCCGTTCATTCTCATCTATTCCTTCATTCTGTTCACACTCATTGTCTACTAATTAAATTTAATATTTTGCCACCTGGTTCGATTAACTCTCCTTTTATTTTCACATTTATATAATTTTCCATTATTTTTATTTATAAATATATTTTATTTTTTGTATCCATAATAATAATTATATTAATATAATTTTATAATATGTGCTATTTTACTTTATTACGAATGGTTACGAGCTCAATGTTTCAAGAGTATTTCCTGAAATTAATAAATTGTTTGATTACCCTACCTATACGAATACATCACGGTATGTGGATTTTTTTGAGAAAAATATTTTTTCTTGTGACATTAATTGGTGCTTGTTGCTTGTTTTGTTTCTCTCTATTCGCTAAAGCATTAATTTTGTTAGTATTTGTAAATAAAATAATGACATTACTATTAACAACATGACAAACGACAATCATAATGTAGGTGCTTTTAATGTAGACAATGACAAAACCAGCAACGATAATGTGGGGTTAGATGTGATTAGTTGAAGGTACGATATCATCATCGTCTTTACAGTTTTGTTATCATTTAATCAGCACATTATTTACAATGCTTATCTGTCGAGTGTTTGCTTGACCTATAAATTGAAATTTAACAAGGCGTGGTAATATAAGCATACCGTTGTGAGTTATTACTGCTTTTGCAAAATATCATGATATGACTATTTTTTATATTTACTCTGGTGCCATAACTCTGTGGGATTCCTTACCTACGTTGTAAAATTTATGTTCTCAAATGTGATAAAGGTTTTTCCAATATGAAAATTAAAAAACTGGAGTGACCTAAATGTTGTAATCTCATGTTTTAGGCATTTTGCTGGGTGGACTCGCATAAGAAAAAATGTTCTAAATAAAATGATGAAGTTGAAAACGTATTCGATGGAGCCAGAACCTGGCATGTTGCTATTATCTAATAATTTTACTTCAAGTTTTAATTTTGCAATAAATTTATAATTTTTTCGGTAACCTCATCACTCGCCGCTCCCCATAACATCCAATTTAGTAGATGACATTCATACGGTGACAAAAAATATATATCCTATTGCTTTCTTGTAGTCCTTTGAAACCCCATTTTATGGTAAACTTCTGGCATCGATACCATGGATACATATACCTAATATCTCTGGTCGACACTGATAATAAATAAATTTATAATTTAAAATATCCAAATTAAATGTCAATTAAGTTATGAAAAAATTTGTTTATTGCCGGAGATAATTTTATAAAACTGGTTTTATTAACATAACATGAGTGGCAGATCTTGGGGAGGGGGCGTTCTGTCTGAGCGTTATTTGTGTTAAAAGTTAATAAAAGTCGTTGTTATAACGGAAAAAGTAGTTTTTTCAGAAAAAATTGACATTGTTAGCCTATTAGCAGAAAAGTTGCCTTTTCCGTAAAAATGTTGGCCCTCCGTGAGCAGAAAATATTTTCGAAACAAAGTTTTTGGAAATTCTCCTCCTGTCATCAAGTTTTTGTTAAAAATTCCTCCCTCCTCGATCGAGAAATATTTATCAAAATTTTAGCCCCATCCCCGTTAAAGTTGTCTAGATCCGCCACTGCATAACAAAAGGATATAGTAAATGGGCTCAGACCAAAGGTCCTTACGCCCCTATCTACAGTATCATCAAAATAAATAACATTCAAAATAAAATTGATTTTTTCCTTAATAGAAAGTGCTTTTCAGGTAAGGAAATGTTTTGGCACTAACTGGTGTTGAACCTGGACCCTTCAACGTCACCAAGGTCGCTTTTCAGTACAAACAAATTGTGAAGAATTTTAAAATATTGTACATTTACCAAGGGATCATAAAAAATTATATATTTACAAAAAGATTAATCAAAACCTCGTAATTTGAAGGTAGGCTTATGTTACATTATATACTCTTAAATTATGCTGACGTTTTATATACGATGATAATATCTTAAATACTACGATTATGTGCTTATTAAACAAAAGTTAAATACAGGGGATTAAATCTAAAATGTACGTACATATACTACATTACAAATAATACCTAAATATAAATGTGTGTATTTATATTATTATTGTTATTATCATTATTATTATTAATGAATATGAGCACTCTTGCCAAACCGTATATAAAAAAAAAATCCAAAAGGAATTTGTAAATGAACGTAAATGAATCTCCATAACAATTATACAAAGCAAGCAACAGAAACAACCCAAAATTAAATTTGAAATAAACATGTTATGATTGATCAAATATTCCCAATAATGACATAGAAGAATATGATGCTATAGATGATAATGACAAAGAAGAATATGATGCTATCGAGGATAATGACAAAGAAGATTATGATGCTATGGATGATAATGACAAAGAAGATTATGATGCTATCGATGATAATGACAAAAAAGATTATGATGCTATCGATGAAGAAAAGGAAACCAACGAAGATGGACCAGCCAATAAAAAATCTGACACCTAATTTCCATCTAAGTTCACTTTCACAAAGTGAATATCTCCCTATTTAAATCAACTTGCACTGATGACGATTCATTCGGAATCGAAATATGGCATGAATTCTGAAAATAAATTTATTTTTAACTTTAATAAACTAAACGTTCTCCAAAAAACTTTAGTGAGATAAATCTAAAAAACGAACTACAAACATATTAACGCCAAACATTCGGTAGAATTTATAGAATATTGTAAAAATTTTGGTCTATTACCAACATATATATATATTATATATATGTATATATTTTTATTTTATATAAGTGTATATGACTATAATCTTATATATATATATATATATACATATATATATATAATATATATATATATACATATCATTATATATATTATTGTTGTTGTATGTAATGACTCATATATATGAATATAACATTACATTCTATGTATATGATATGACTATGATGTTGATGGTCGAATAGCTACATAAAAATGAATGCATTGTGTTGAATGTATCTGGTTTTTGAATATCTAATTAGTTGAATGGTTAGTACACAAATATATATATATATATATATATATATATATATATATATATATATATATGTATGTATGTATTATATTACAATTAAAATAAATATATTATTTTTTTATTTATATCAAAATATAATTTAGTAATTATGTTTTATATTACACCTACAAAACAATTAATAATAACCATCACATTGGGAGTGGAGCTTTACTTGGAGCTTTATGTTAAAGTTTAATTTAAACAAACTAAAAGATTAAATATTAAATTAGAGGCAAAAATTAAAAATTTTACATTTACTTATTATTAAATAATAATTTGTAGATTATTTGATAATTTATGTTATATATACAGACTAATATTTATTTGGTTACTTTTAGGTTTAGTGAAGAAACAGAAAATTAGGCTTTTTTAATTAATTAAAAAAGTTTAAAATAAATTTAATTTAATAAATTCTGAATTCAACTGCAAGTAGGTGTGTAATGATTTTTTTTTCATGTTAGACTGATTTTATTGAATTTTTTCAAGGACTTTGTTTTGAATTGTAATTGTTTTTATTATAGTTTGTTTACTTTTACTTGTACAGTGTAAGTGTAATAATGAAATGTTATGTCATGTAAAGTTCACAGTTTATTTGCACTTTTCAATACATTTGGGTATTCAATTTTAATGTATTATGATAAATAAATTAGAAGTGAAACACATAAAAAATAAATAAGCTGTTCTGACCAACCAGGCAAACATTATCAGATTATCTTATTGTCCTTTTAATCTTAAGAGTCTTCTTAATCTTAAAAGATTTAAAAAAGAAATATATCTGATTATTTAGTATTGTTAAAAAGGTTTAAACTTTTTAAGTTGAGTTAACAGATAATTTTTTATATTTTTGTTATTTGTAGTAACATAGTATAATCATAATGTAATATATAATATAAGAATTAAATTAACATTAACTTAACAACATAACATAACAAATAAATTAAGTAAATGAACTGGACTTGACCAAAATCCTAAAATTACAATATTTTCAAAATGGGTTTTTAATATTAGAATATGTGATCTCACTTTTAAAAAGTTTGTTACAAACTGTTGTGAACTAATTTTAAACATTTAAGAGCGGTAAAATTAACTCTTGATTTGACATTATTCAGATTCACTATGAACATAACAAAACTCTTGATTAAAAGATCGAACTCTAAAATTTTTAATTTAATATAACCTAGTTTTTATATTTAGAAATCAAACTCAAACCTTCATTTCAATTATACTATCAACAGTCATGCACATTTCAATATATCTGTCAAGCAAATAATCATGTTAGCTTTTCTGTAAAATAGAACAGGAGTTGTTAAATTCTTAGTGAAGGTATTGAATTTCTGAAACCAGAGAGGAGTGTGTTTTATGACGAATTACTTTTTTTACTACATTTTTTTAATACTGAGCTGGAGCAATAAATCTAATGGATGGATGAATAGATTGATGAATGAATGATTGAATGGATGATTGAATGAATGATTGAATAGATTGATGAATGGATTTTTACAACTTCCTACCACAAAATATCCAACATGCAGGTGATGCCAGGTAACAAGAAGAGGAAGTCATATGGTGATGTGGATGAGGTCATGGATGAGAATGACACTGAGTGCTGCGGTGTCTCGTTCCTCAGAAACTTCATCTACATCTTCAACTTCATCTTCTTTGTGAGTTTCTTCCTATCCTCCTATTATTATAACATAACTCAGCGCAATATAACTTAACATAGTGATAAAAATAAAAGGGCTTACATTGAAAGTTTCTCCCCATGAACTTCTTGCCCATATTCACTATTATATTGAGTTTCTTGTGAGAGCGTTGTTTAAAGAGAAACCTGAACAGAATAATTAATTGTTTGATAAGTTGTATTTGTATAAATGCATGTTGTTGTTGATAGTACATGAAATGAATGAGCTCATATTTTTGGCTTATATGTTCTGCTTATTGTCACTTATTTGTATAGCAATACATTCGTATCTATAATATACAAACGTACGAACGATCTAACAAAAAATCAAGCAATCAGGCAACAAAATTATTTTGAGAAGCGTTATTTTTATAGCAGAATTATTTTAAACATCATTTAAACCACTCATTCATTCTCCATTCACCACTCATTCAATCATGGTTGATGCTAATTTTTGTTGCTGGTATAGAAACGTTTGTTTGTACAGGTTGCGAGATTCAATTGGCATAAAAAAGGATATAGCTGGAAGCCTGTAGTCCTGTACATCAGTGCAATTTGAATTATTTAACGAATGGAATGTTCTCACATAAATTTCCTTTGTCAATGCACTTCAACTTGTTCCTTACCTCTGAGTGCTCATCTGTTTGCGCATTCGTTCGTTTATGTTCGTTCATTGCATTTGTTTGTTTGTTTGTTCGTTTTTTTTTTGTGTGGCGTCGTTCCGTTGGATTGTTAATTTTCGGTTAAATTGACCTGTTTGTTCATTTGTTGGTTCGTTTATTTGCTGGTTTGTTAGCTAATTGGGTTTTCTATAATGGTGTTTATTTGAGTCAATGAAAGAAAACCGAATAAATAATTGAATGAATGAATGAACGAACGAATGAATAAATGAATGAATGAATTCAAATAATAACCGGGAAGTGGACCAAGTTGTCTACAGGAAGCCAGCGTGCTTTTATTTGTTATCTGCATCAACAAACACAAAATTATGCATGCATTCATGCACTGCACATGCATTAAACGAATGTACTTATTGAACAATGCAGCAGATACAGTGGTGTTATAAACACTCGCACATTATTTGCCTTATTTATAAACAAACACGCCCAAATACTTTGAACGCTCACTCACACACACGCGCACACACACGTGGTTTATTTTGTTACTGTTATCGTGATAGTTTTATCATTAATGTTGTTTTTCCATTGTTAATGTTATTGTTGATATTTTTATTATTGTTGTTGCTATTGTTGTTGTTGCTATTGTTTTGGTTGTTATTATCACTTTCATAATTGTAGTTTCTTGTTCTTTCAGCACAGCACAAGGCAAACATCCGCTCCTTTCAAGTTCCATTGAATGCATGCAGCTTCTTTAACAATGATAACAAGATCCATTCCAATGATTCACCACTACCACACACATCACACATACACACACATACACACCACACACATACACACATACACCACACACAAACATACAATATACACGCACACATCACACGCACACACACACATACATACACACACACGCACGCACAAAGACACGCACACACACAGATTGAGAAATGATGGAGGATGAAATGCGTCGTAGTGGCGATGATGATTAATTATGATGATGATATTGATGATGTAAATTATGATAATGATGATAAAAGTAAGCACGTGAAAATATAAGCATGGCTCCACTTCCACTTTTGGTCTCTGGCTTAAGTTGATTAATTTTTCTTCTTGGTGCCATATTCAGAAGATTATTTCGCAGTTTCGAGCATCATCTGCCTGTTGGTCTTAACATTAGAAATAATTTCCGGTTTAATTTTTTCTTATTGAAATTTTTAGTTTTTTTTTGTTTTTATAATTATACATGGAAGCAAAATACTTCATTCGTTTGCAGTCAACCTACAAACCAGTCAACCAACCGACCAATCAACTAACCAACCAACCATC